TCCCATCGCCTGATGGATTCATGCTAACCCTTTTCCTTGGCAAACTGCCACAGCACGGAAAAATTGGTTAATTGCATAGTACTGTTCTTTATAGGAGAAGGGATTTGGATCTGTCTCCAGCTAGTGCATTCAGTTTTGTTCAGATTTCCACAAAGTGCTCTGAATCCTTCTGCCATTTCCCTGACTGTTGGATTTTTACTTGCATGGAAGATTGGTCCCTTGAATACCAGCATGTTTTGAAAACCCTGTGGGGATGGGTGGGTGAGCCTGGGACTGTGCCTGGGCAGCCTGTCTAGAGGACTGATGATGGTTTGGCTTTCCCTGGAGACTCAGTGTCTCTGCCCATATGCATGAATGGGAGCAGCACATGGCTCTTGCACAGTGCTAGGGTAGGTCCTTGTGTTCTTTGTTTCTTCCACAGCTGGTGTGAACAGTTCTCTGGTGTGGGATGTCCTGCTGGCTGTGCTTCCCATTCTGGGAGTGCAGAACAGCTTGTGGCCTGGAAGGTGGAGCTGGCTGGGGTGCAGGTCCTGCCCCTCTGCTGCTGCCAGCACCTGCAAACCCATCTATAGCCAGGTAGAGCTAAGGGCACCTGGCGTGTGACAATGTGGTCTTTTGTTCTTACTTCTTGAGCTGATTTGAAACTAAGCAGGGCTTAGTTTGGGACTTCCTTAGTGCTACTTTTAGTATCTCCCTTTAAAATGGATCATCCCTCTGATTTATTTGTCCTTCTGAGCTGTGGGCTTTTTTTATATTGTTAATTTTCTTTGATTCTCACACAAAATGAGAAGCACCTTTTGCCACCAGCCCTAAGATGGAAAAGCAGGTGCTCTAAAGTGCACTGACCTGGCTGTGATCCTGGCCGTGTCCTGGCTGGTGCCACCTTTCTCTGTGGGCTTGGCTGTGTACTGACACCTCCTGGGGCACAAAGCCGTGCTGCCTTCTGCTGACAAAGCACGTGGACCCTCTGGTGTGACTGTAGAGCAGATCTCTAGATGTTAGATGTGGGGGCTACCTGAGGCTTTCCATTCCACCTGGGAGTAAGACTGAGCTGTGAAAGGCTGGGCTGTGAAAATGGGCTGAGAAGGTCCCACCTTTCATGGAATCACAGAGTGTTTGGGTTGGAAGAGACCCTAAAGGTCATCACATTCTAACCCCATGCCATAAGCCTCTGAGTGACATGGCTGGGTCATCCTGAGCAAAGCCTATTTTTCAGGTGGCCCAAAATATTTGGCCAGAGCTGGTGGGGAAGATTTTGGCTTTGTGGCCAGCTGTAGCCACAGGGTTCAGTCAAAATCTGATCAGTTTTAATGTGGCTCTCCCTGTTCTTTGCAAAGGAGTCTTTAAAGGGATAAACAAAGTCTGGGTAAAAACTGCTAATGCTCAGCTTATTTTCAGTCCTTTGTACATTTTTAATATTAGATTTTGATCTTGTTTTTTATTAAGGTGCTGGTGTGAGATTCTTTATGGGCTGGTCTTACCACGCTCTGTGTCTCAAGAATCCAGTCATGTGGAAAGCATTCTTTCTTAGATGCAGCAGGCAGACTTTATCCTTTGATCCCATAATTTTCAGCTCTGGTCTCCAAGTGACTGAATTTTGGTTTTGCTGATCAAAAACCATTCCCTAGTACCCTTATTTTAAAAGAACTAGTGCTTAAAAATGGAGAGGATCATAATAAAGTGGTCTCTCAGAATGGTTGTGGTTGGAAGGGACCTTGAGGATATCTTATTCCACCCCTCTGCCATGGGCAGGGACACCTTCCACTAGACCGGGTTGCTCCAAGCCCTGTCCAACCTAGCGTTGATGATGAGAAGATATTCCTGCAGGCAGGGAGGGAATGCTGCATTTCACAGAACCTCAGCTGGGTGATACACAAGTGGGTTTTCATCAGTAACATTGATTCAGGGAGTTTTTCTATGCCCAAACTCCAAATCTGGGTGCTGAATCATGAACTACTCTTATTCACTAGCTCTTAGTAAAGCAAAAGGTGTGGTTTCAACTGAGTTTTTCCAGGAGAACCTCACTGATGATGACTGCCTTTTGTTTTATTATTAATCAGATGAAGCGATTTTATTGTGAACTTGGGGCACAGTAAACATTCTCTGTGGTCACAAAAGTCAAAGATTTCAGCTACAGTCAGTGTAAGTCCAAAGAAGCCCCAGTGTCACTTAGAAGAGAACAGGTGCCACTGGGACCTGCAGCTCTGCATGTGCATCGTACGGGTGGTGTTTGAGTGTGTGAAACAGCCGCTGGTGTAATGAGGACCCAGGGGATCATGGATGTCCTGGGGAGAGCGAGGAGGGCCGTGGGAGCAGCCCCCCACGGGGAGCTGTGCTGGGTGTGCAAGAGAACAGGGCTGGGTTACCCGAAGTTGAGCGCTCAGCTCCGTGCTTCCCGTCCTCCCCAGGCTGTGGGATCCTTGTGGTGCCTGTGTGACACGTTGTGTTTCTCCGGCAGTGGTTCTCATGGGAAAGGCTGGCTTCCCCCGGTGAGTCGGAAATGTCCCAGGAGCCCAGAGCATTGAGAGTATGTGTCAATTGTTTCCTCCCAGGCGCTTTGGGAAGGGAGCCTAGAAGATTATCTCAGCATTTGGAACAATATAAACAGATGCCAAGCACTTCAAGTACATGGAGAAGGAAAATGTCTTGGCCTCCCTGAAGAGTTGGGGGAGTGGGGGTGGGGGCACAGCAAGGGACATTAAATAAGTCTCTGCCTTCAGACTAGGCAAAAGCAGCAAAGTAATGCAGATGCTTGCCTGTGTGTATACAAGTGAGTTTCATATTACCAAAATCTCTGCTGTACACACGTGGTCCAAAGATTAAAGAGATTGTCCAGTTCTGTTGGCAGCATATTAAAGTATTAAGACTGCAGGCTCACTATGATGTGTTTCTATTATCAAGCTGACCACAGAATTCAAGTGATTCATAGGGGAATGTTGTTTAATACAGATACCTTTTGCATCAGGTTTTTGAATAGAGTTTTGGCTGTGAGAATCCCTTGGGAAGGGCTACCACTGCCCTGTTTGTCTGGGGTCACCCCCACCCTCCAGCTCCTGCTTGTGCTCAGATAAGATCTCCCCTTCCCTGTCCCTGTGCTGTGCTCAGGCCATCTGCCACGTTAAAGCTGATGTTTCCAGTTGCTGGAAGAGCTTTCTGGGTTTTCTTTGGCACGCAAGAGCTAAACTGGATCTTCACATTATCAGTCTGGGAGGTCTTGCTACAGATGTCTCTGTGGCTCTGCCCTTTTCCTCTGCAGTGTGATCCCTTTCCTCACAGATGGCGACTCTGACAAGAGGCAGCCGACACAGGACCCTGTTCTGTCACTGTTCCACTGCTTGAGTTTGAACCTGCTCAGCTCCAGAATCTTCTTTCTTCCATCTCTGGAAGTGTCCAAGGCCAGGCTGGATGGGACTTGGAGCAAACTGGTACAGTGGAAGGTGTCCCTGCCCATGGCAGGGGCTGGAACAAGATGAGCAAAACGTGCAAAATAAAGGTTGAAACATGCAAAATGAAGGCCTCACAGCTGGCCTCAGGAGTGTGTGGAATTTGAAATGGCAAATGCAGGGTTGTTTTTCATTGGCAAATCAGTTAGTTACAGAAATGGAATATTTTGTGCCTGATTTTGAGTTGTTTGGTCGCCAAGACTGGATTTATCATAAGTAGGAATTAGAGACACATGTTTAGTTTGTGGGTCATTCATTCAGATGAATTTGTTTACTCAGTCTGTTCATCTGATTCAATCACTCTGGGATAAAAACGAGGAAACCAAACTTGGTCCAAAGTAGAGAATCCAGCTCTCATTTCTCAGGAGTTACTTTGTAAGAGCTGCTTTTATAGCTTACAGTGAGATGTCTGAATGGTCTGGGCAGAGAAGATGACATGGAAGTGCTTTCTGTAAGCACAGGATATTCATCCCAAGGTGGCAGAAGTGCAGAAAGCCCTGAAAAGAAAACATTTTTATCAGACACAATAGGCACAATCATTAGCAAATGTGGTTGGAGTGCTTTAGTTTGAAATCCTAGTTTCAGTGCAAGGGCATCCTTGGGATTTACAGCCTACGTATGAAATTTGGCACTTCTTCTGTTACTAGTTAATTTTTATTTTGGAAAGTGTCAAGTAGGAGTTGAACTTGTGTGAGTAGTCCTTCCTTCTCTGCTGTGTTATAATAACACCCTAATGGTACTTAGAGCGTGGGACCTCTATAGTGGCACCTGTGTAAGGTACCTAATGGTACTTTGACTCTTGTTATACAATGGACTGCACAGTCAAGTGATGTAGATTTTGTTGGTCTAAGCTCTTCAATTAAACTGAATCCCTTGGCATGAGGTAGTTGTTAAGCTCAGACAGTGTATTTGGTAAAACAAATGGAAAAATTAGTGTAGAATGTATTTGAAAAGCACTCTGTTCGATATTACAAAATGAGTCTGATGGCCTTCTGTGGGGTTTATTTTTGTATTTAAATGAGTCACGAGGACAACAGTTATCTGAGTCTCTACTGGCATGTACTCTCAGAAATGATGGGATAAAAATAATTCTGCAAATGGTAGCTACAGAGCTCCAAGCTCACATCTGGAGACAAGAAAAACAGAACTAATTAACATTAGGCCAGCAAAGAGGGATAGTTCACTTGCCTTCTGGAGTGGAACAGGGATAGGACAAAGAGTAATGAGTTCAAACTGAAAGAGGAGAAGTTTGGGTTAGATATATGGAAGAAATTCTTTCCTGTGAGGGTGATGAGGTCCTGGCACACATTGCCCAGAGAAGCTGTGTCTGCCCCATCCCTGGAAGTATCCAAGGCCAAGTTGGATGGGGCTTGGGGCACACTCAGCTAGTAGAAGGTGTCCCTGCCCATGGCAGGGTTTTGGAATGAGATGAGCTTCAAGGTCCTTTCCAACCCAAACCATTTTGGGATTCAAAGACATGCAGCATGAGCTGTGCTGGCCTGTGGTGCCCAAACTGCAGAGTGCTGTAATTAATATTGGTGTACTTGTGTTCCCCAGGTCACCACACGATTTACATCGGTGTCCATGTGCCGAAGAGTTACAGGCGGAGGAGGCGTCACAGAAGAAGACCCGGGCACAAAGATAAGAAAGAAAAGGAGAAAATCTCAGAGAACTACTCGGACAAATCAGACGTAGAAAATGCTGATGAGACAAGCAGCAGTATCCTCAAGCCACTCAGTGAGTACTGGTTCCAGTTGTCACTCATTACAATGCTCGATTGTCTAGGGATCTGCTCTTGGAGGACGAAACTTGATCCATGAAAACAGTGGTCTCATGTTGCAGGATTGGAGTGGTCTTAGCCAGCTGCTGTGGGATAGCTGCCTTGGCTTGGAAAAGGCATGGGCTGGAGCAGACATTTCATCCCTCTCTATCACCTGAGTTGGCCCTTGAGGGATGCCAGGCAGGAGCAGGCCGAATGTTTAAAAAGCAATTTGATACCGTGTGTAAAGAGATAGCAAGCAAGGGAAAAGACTGAGTAGTTGCCTGGGTAGATCTATTGCAGCTTCTACCCTGGCTCTGGGACGTGCACACATTCTGGAATTCCAATACCCCCATGGTTTCGGCCTCATGTGTCACTAACTTGCAGTGCTAACAGCTTCTTTCCCTTTGGTAATTAACCAGTTTCAGGTTTTGAAAACAAAAAGAAGACTGAAATGGAACTTTGCTGTTATGTTTGAGTATCTGTAGAGATTGAATATCTAAATATTGACAGGCAGGTGAGATCTGCTTTGGATGCCCTGTGCCTCTATTCCCACCAGAATTGTTAAACAGAGGACAGAGGCCTTTAGCTAGTGCCATCACTGTGCAGAGACTGTCACAGGATTGCATTCCCCTTCCCCTTGTATTCTCTGTTGGCCACAAGGTTGTCCTGAAATCTGGGAGATGCCTGCTTTGGTAGGAGCAGTGGGGGAGATGGGAAGGCTAGTGGGGTTGAGTATAGCAGGGCAGCCAGAATGTGATACAGCTCAGATTATTGAGGCTAATTCCAGATGGCTGGAGCTTCATTTGTAAGTGGAAAAATGCTTCTTCTGTGAGAGATCCATACAGCTGCATCTTGGATTGAAGCAATACATTCATTTCTCATTTTGAAGTCCTGTTGCTGGATAGTAGCTGTAGATAGAGACAGTAACATGGGACAGATCAGTCGTATCTTTAGCCTGGTTACCATCTTCAGAGAACAGCACCTGGAAATGAAAGCAAGTCAGAGATTCCATTTGCTTTTCCCAGCTCTTGTTCCCTGGTTGTTCCAAAAAAGGGTTTTTTGTCAATGCTCAATGGAGTTGGTTTTATACCAAAAGACATAATTACCCATCTCAAAATGTTTTAAAGTCAAATGTTTTAAACTTAATTTTTGTGTTTACACCTCTGTTCTTTAGCATACAGGTAACCAGGCCTGTAGAAATTGTTTTTTCGCTTCTGAATGTATGATATCCTAGGGAAATTGTTTGCATGGGCTAAGTGTGCCTATGTTTGAAAACCAATTTCTTCCATCAGGTTTTCATGTCCTGCCTTTCATTTTGCCCATCCTTGTGTCTGTGTCATTTGAGGAGGGGTTTGTGGTGTTTTTTCTCCTCTCCTCTGTTGTTTCTATGCAGTAATACATTCTTATCTGCACTTACACCTGCAGGTAAGAATATGCAGTCTTTCCACCTGCAGTTTTCCCATAGGCTTTTCCACCCTGAGCTCTTTGTGCTGCAGATTTTTAGAGTGGAATCATGTACATATTCCAGGTGTCCCATACAGTAGCATTCATACCCCATCCCTGGGCCCTTTTCTCTGGTGTTCACCATCTCAGGTATCCGGATACTTTTCCAGGTCCTTGCAGGGACCTGCTGTTTCCTGCTGGTGGCCAGATCTTTTTACGAGCTGGCTCATGTAGCTTGGAGCTTTGTAAAGGAGAGGGGCAGTTCAGATTACTGTCTTGAATTACAAGTTACCTCATATCCCTGGGTTTTTTCCTCTTCTGAAACTCTTGTCTTCAGAGCTGACCTGAATTTTGTGTTTCCCACCCTTTCTTTTGCTCTCTTAGATGCCTTTGTTTTCTGTCCACCAGCTGTGTCACACAAGTGTGTCTGACAGAAGCTCATTTCTTTCTGGGCAGCAGGTACCAGCTTAGGCTGGTGTCCAATACTGGCAATCCTGGCAAGAAACATCAGGTAGAACCCTGGGGTTTTAATCTTTATCCCATAATAGTAATTTACTGAGGGGTGTGTGCCTCAAATTCAGTTTCAAAAGAATATTAGAAATAAGGAGCTGGGAAATATTGCCCAGCAGCTTTAATGGAGCTGGGAGAAAGCTGAAATGAACTGTATTACAGATATTTAAGGCAGTCAGTAAAGAGTGTGGAATATCAGAAGGTGAAATATGTGTAGTTGAAAACAAGCAAAATCTGATCTGACATGCAGAAATCTCAAAAGAAATCTCAAACACTGTGGTTTTTGGTTCAACATATGTCATTTTAAGAAATCCTGAATTTATATAAAGAGCTCCTTCTCTTTGTTGATTTTTGCAATTATCACCTTGGCCTGTATTAGACACTGTCAGTTCAGCTTGGGTGTATAACTGGGGATTTAGTTTATCTTCTAATACAAGGACAAGTATACAGAGCTTAATTTGAAAAATCTTTAATAATGTAGTTGTTAAAACAATTTGTAGAAGTTCAGGGAACAACTTCATTGTCCTGTATATCAAGACCTTTTTTTTTCCCCTGAGTAGAAAGCTTAAGCCAGTTGTGATTTGGTACTTCACTTGGAATTCTTGATGTGTCCCTAAGGACCACATTCTAAGCTTCAGTATCTTACCTGCAAACAATTTCTCAGCTTCTTGGATGAAAACTCTGCAATTAGACTTGGACCAAGTCTTGGTTTGACTCACTGGGTCAAGCTGCTCACAGCAACCGAACCTGATGGAACATGTCCACTGATACCAGCAAGAGAATAAACAGGTCCAGAAATGCAAATCTTCCCTAGAAAAGTTTTGTTCCAGTTCCAAACCAGTCTAGCTGTGCCTCTGTGTTTGGGAATTGGTGCAGTCTGGAAATGTCAGTCCTTATTTTTTTTCTTAGTCTATGTCCAGCTGAGCCAAATGAGTCAAACTGTGGTTGTTAAAGACAAGCTACAGCTCTCCTATCTGGAGAGAGCTGGGCAGATGGAATGTGTACAGATATGTTTTATCCTAAGGAAATTAGTGCTTGGGAACCATGCTTCCTTCACAAATCCAGGCAGGGATACTTTGACAGACTGAGGAGGAGGCAGAAAGGCAGTGTTCCCTCTGCAGAGCCCTTTCAGGACATTCCAGGCCTGCGGGGCTGTCTCTGCTCTCTGGGAGCTTTGGTATTCACACCTTGCTTCTCAGGCAGGACTGCAGACGATGACAAATCCCTCTTCCAGGTGAAACATCCCAGCACATCTGGTCTTAAAGCACCTCCTTTAACCAGCCTAGCCTTGGTTTCCATTTAGGGCCAGTCAGGAGGAAACGCTTTTTAGGCTTTGCCTCATTGAGTCAGCTGGTGCTTGTGTCAGCACAAAGAGGATGGTGTAGTTTGCTGCTACTTGCAAGGGGTGAGACAAGGGAGGAACAAGGAAGGCAGATGAAGTTTCTCTGAGTCCATTTCCCTCTTCCTCATTCTGTACTACTGGTGTACAGAGATTTTCCCATGAGGAAATGCATCTCTACTTGATCTGGGAAGGGGTTTTTTCTCATTGTCTGGTAGCCCTCCAAGTCACTTTGGCTCACCTTCCTGGCCCAAGTCCAGATTCTGCAACACTTTACTGACTTTTTAAAACCACTTGTGGGTCTGACAAATTCTTACTGTCAAGAATAGAATTCTCTTAGTGCTTGCAGCCCTGAAGAGAGTAAAACCTGATTTTTGTGAGGTGTCAGAATGTTGCCATGTTGATAAATATAACTGCAGAATCTAAATTTTGGAGTGTTTAAAAGCAGGGATAAGAGGACCCATATAAAAAGAGAGGGGAGGGATGATATATCAGAGCGTTTTGAAGGTTTCCAGTTGGCTCAGAGAATTCTTCTTGCACCCACCAGCAATAGTTCTTAAGGGTTTTAATGAAAATCTTCTTTTGGGCCTCAGATGTGGGTTTGGAGGAGCGCTTCTCCTGTTTGCAGGGAGTTACTCCTTTAAGGTGCAATTGGAGGCTTGTGCTGCCATTCTACATGGAGTGCATCTCTCTGACTGAAGGTGAGATTCTGGCTAGATGGATCAGATTTGCACCTGAAGCAGGTAAACTTCTGGTCCAGCTTCCCAACTTGGAGTGCCTGCTTTGCAGGAAGAGTTTATTGTGGACAATTGGATGGGTTGCCCAAAGTGGTGGATACCTCATCCCTGGAAGTGTTCAAGGCCAGACTGGACAGGACTTGGAGCAACCTGGGGTAGTAGAAGGTGTCTCTGCCTGTGGCAGGGGGTTGGAATGAAGAGATCTTTAAGGTTCCTTCTAACCCAAACCATTCTGTGGTTTCCAGTGAGGAGTGCCAGTCTGACTGGAATGGTCCATTCATAAAAAGATCAAATTGATTCCACAAGGATATTTAGACATCTCTTTAGGAACACTCAAGCTTGGTGTCTACCTTGAAAATTCATTAAGACAGGTGCTATAAATAGCAGGAGAGAGCTACAGGATGGAAATACAGGATGAACCTCTACTTAGCAGAGCAGATGCAGCACAGTCAGGCCTGTGCCAAGAGTTTTCTTTCTGTTCGTGCTACTGGATTTTTCAACCATCCAATTTCTTTCCTGACTTTTCAAGACATGGGGTGGGATTTTCCAAAAGCTTTTAGCCTCAGCTCACCACAGTGATAGCACTGACAGTAGTTGAGAAATACCAGGCAGGATGGCCAAAGCTTAATTGTTTTTGTATTGGCACTTGATGTAGGAAAGGTGGTTGGAGAGACTTTGCCATAAGTAGAAGGGAATTTTGCTGTTTTGGTCTTCAAGAACTGTGTGGCAGGCTCTGGACTGGTCCCAGGTGCTGGGGTCAGTTGAAACAGGTCTTCTTCTGCCCCTCCAGTGCTGCAGGGAGCTTGCTTAGGTCCACTGTAGTGCAAGTGCAGAGCTGAGTTAAGCACAGAACTAATTAAACACAGAAGTGCTTGGCTTGCAGCCGTGCCCTCTGTGTAGCTGGGGGCCTGTTGGAGCGGCTGGCAGGGTGCAGCTGGCTGTGTCC